ATTATTGATTTTATTGATTAGTTGTTGCAGCCCTAAAATCCTTATTCCAGACAAGACTTTCTTCTCTTTAGTCTGAAAAGAATATACAAAGATGGGAACCTCTGTGAACTATAGTGTTCCCTGTGTCTTCATTATAGAGATTTCTCTTTCCTGTTTTATTTGTCGGACAGACCGCAAAGCAAGTGGAAATCAGGGATTTAGATAGCAATAACAACAATTGTTCTAGTACAGTAAAGTAGGCTACAGATGCAGCAAATTTTGGCCAGTTCTTGATAAACCGGTTAAAATTCGCTGCATGGGTTCCCGTTCTAGGCACCCTTCCGCCGGCATCTCTCAATCAACTGATCTAAGAAGCAGGTTGGAAAATTTGCGGCCGCTGTGAGAATACAACGCAAACAGCGGGATATTTATCCATCAATGCTAGTAGGTAGGGATGCACCAATATATCGGCCGCCGAAACATATCAGCCGTAAATTGCACTTTTGGCATTATGCCGAAAGTGCCATTTTCCTGGCGATACATCGGCACATCCGTGATTTCTTTCTTACCTGCTGCGCGCTGCTCTGTGTCCCAGCGGGAGGAGAGAAAGTGTGACAGCCTGCCAAGCGCTGCAGGAGGAGAGCTCTGTGAGCGGCCGGCATCTATCCTCCCACACCGCTCAGCCGCCTATCACAGTCCGGCAGAGCGGTGTGTGGGCGAAGACAGGCTGCGCTGTCACAGGAGGCTGAGTTCTCCCTACACCACTCACTCAGCCTCCTGTGACAGTGTGTCAGAGAGGAGAGCAAGGTACAAACACTCAGCGATCAGTAATCGCTGAGTGTATTGTACATAATTGAGGACATGGTATGTTAACTATATCCTCAATTATGAATGAATGGGAGTCATCTACATCACCTCCTGTTCATTCATAGTTGTAGTAAACATACCATGTTCTCAAGTTATGAATGAACAGGAACACTCTTAGAGGATTCCTGTTCATTGATAACAGGGGACACAAAAAAAGAGATAGAGGACTTTGTGTCCTACATCTCTTTTTCTATTTTAAAAGGGAAATATCAAGGGTCTGTTTAGACCCCCAATATTTCCCGAAGCCCCTAAAAGTAATGTAAAAAATTTAAATATTTAATAAAAAAATGAATCAATAAAAATAAATATAAAAAAAGTTTATAAAAAATAAAATATTTAAAAAATGTGACAAAATTAAAAAAAATACATTTTTCGGTATCGGTTTCGGCCTGAATTTTTTTTTATGTTGGGTTAAAAATTTCCATTTCGGTGCACCTCTACTCGTAAGCGTTGATGGAGTATTATGTTCTATTTTTTTTTGTTCAGCCCACAGATTGAACGAAAAAAATAGAACCATGTATACCCGGGTTTATGAATCACTGTCATGCATGAGGAAAGAAGGCAGAGAAGAGAGATCTCTTTTGTGTGGATACAGACATCAATTTTAGTCCTGAAAAAGTTCTCTACTCCAAAACTCAAGCAAAAACTTTGGCTGAAGGGAAGCTTTATTCAGTGTCAGATGTAGGAGCCACCCCAGTTTATGATGGGGTGTAAATTACTAAAGCCTACTGGCTTCACTAGTCACTGTGCCTGTCATGTAATCATAATTTATTTATATAGAAAGGAATCAAAGCCTTAATTGTGGTTAATGATGCTAAACAATACCTTCTATGTAAAAAGATTTTTTTAAATGTTTTTAAATGAACACATAACCAAGTCAGATGCTGTTAAAGTTTCAACTTTAAAGTGCAGGTAAGTGCTGACCTTGGTCACAGATACACTTTTAAATACAGTTAGAAATGACGCTCTGTTTACTACTTTTGCACATGCCCAATGCATGCACAATGCCTGTGATTGTGCTGTCATTAGCTATGCCGCCTGTACTGCCCTCCAAGAAAAATATGTTAAAGGTAAGTCAAAAATCATATTTTTCTCTGTATTAGCAGAAAATATACTAATTCAGCCACCACATTAAAGAATTGCCAAGGATTAGGTAATCCAGAAAACTGTATAGAGAGCTCAGTGCAGCATCATGTAGATTATGTTTTGCTTGAAGGAAAATATCTTGAGAAAAAATAAAGAAAATTAGAAAAAAAAAAAAAAAAAAAGAAGAGGTAAGCTAGTAGAGAAAAGAGGTCAATCCTCCTAAAACACTAGCAAAAAACTGAACTATGTTGGAAGTGGGAAGGTTATACATGGCTGTCCAACAAATTTCTGTTTGCCAGTGTCTGAACCGTCTGGAAGGTGGCAGAATAACACATTTGTATCAGAATAAAAGAATCTTGTGTACTTTAAAGGAGAACTATGGGGTTAAGGCTTTTCCCCATAGTTCTCCTTAGGGTAACGGGAGGACATAAACTAGCGTCCTCCCGTCACCGTAGGCTCAGTATACCGCGAGCTGTAGCTCGCTGTATACTAAGACGCCGCAGCTGAAGCAGATCCCGACAATTATGTCTGGATCCGACCAGCTGCGTGACCTAGAGGCAGAGCCAGCTGTACCCGCCCCCTCCCCCGTCCGTTCTGCCAGTCAAGGGGGAATCCAGCCCCTACCTTCACGGCAGAGAGCCGTGACAGGATCGAGAGGTGAGCAAACGCCAGTATGTGTTCGCTCACTTCCCGATCTACTGAGCCGACCTGTGACAGTCTCATTGTCACAGGTCGGCTGGAACTATGAGGTGAGTGAAAAGCACTCACCTCATAGTTCTCCTTTAATTAACAATATAGAAGTTCAATTTTTGCTTTTGGGTTTAGATACACTTTAAACACTCTTTACAACAGTTTTTTTTAGAAGGCCATTTCTAAGTGCACAACACAAGCAAGTTTAAGGAGCCACTCCAGCAAGCTAAAAACTTGAAAATTGGGTCACATTAGCAATGGGTTCATCAAAACTGAACAACTGAAGGATGGGAAAGGTGTCATTGTGTAGGGTCAGAATAAATGAAAGGATGAATCCATGAATCCAGTATTGTGTCAATGTCGGCAGGATGGCTGTGGAAGGCTGGCCAAATATTGGTTTCTTCTGCTGCAACATACAGATAACAATTTCAGAGTTTGATGTTCATGTGTCAATGTTTTAGACTAGTGGTGCTGAAATGCTATGGGATATTTTTTATTTTTTTTAGCAAACATTGAATAATACTTCACTACAAGCATTTAAAAAGCATGATAAGGTCAATGCATGTCCTTTTATTGGGTGGGGCAGAATATTGTCCCTCATTACTGACCACAGAGCACCCCATTAGATAATGAAATCACAGACGGCAGGCCACAGAACTGAAGTTGAGGACTAAGGTAGCAGCTAAATGATCCCACATAAGAAGACTTTGGCTTAGTAGCGTGCCATGCAAATCAAGTGTTTCGTTTAGCCCTAAAGCTCAAGAGACTGAACTAAGTTTTAATATGATAAAAATTGTATTGTATTGGATACGGTAATTCGTATAATATGCTAAAATCTACACAGACTGACATGGAATGTGGACACTGCAAGGTACAGTCACTGGCAACTGCAGGCAGACAAAGAGCAAGCTGACTCTCTATTAAACTGCCCAGATTTAAGGAGAGGCATTGCTGCATGAAATCACAGTTAATATTGGGCTACAGCCCCATAGCATAATAAGCTCCAATAAACTGAAATTGTGGCTTTAACTAAAAGGAGCCAACAGTGTAGTTGGTTAGAATTAGAAACAACAGTTAGAGCCTATTAGCCTTCAGTCCTGAAATCAGAACATACTGTCAATGCAAAAAGAGCACTCCACAGTTGGATGTTTTTTATGACAAATTCATATAGGGGGTGTATTATATGACACATATCTACAAACATGCATAGACATAAACGCATATTACTGAAGGCATGAATTAAAGAGCAATCTTTTATTTGTTAAACTAAATAATCAAAGCAGCAGCAGCAAGATGCTTGGTCACTGTGTCACTGTGAATATTTATATATTTATACACTGAGTGGCCAGATTATTATGACCACCCCATAAGTACTTTGTTGGGCCACGAGATGACTCCACGAGATGACTTCGTTGGGCCGCCTCGTCATTCCACGAGATGTTGAAAGGTTATGTGAGGAATCTGACACTACACTGTTGCCCTTCTGTTGTCTTGTACCAGTCTTGCCACTCTCCGTTCTACCCTAACATTGACTAGTCGCTGACGGCCACAATTCGCACGTTCAGACCCAGATTTTCGGCTGACAGTCCAGTCTTGAAACACTTTAACAACAGCTGCTCTTTAACATTTAACTAATTCTGCTGTTTTGCTGATACTCGCTCCATGGCTCCGAGCGCCAACAATCATCCCACGTTCAAAGGCTGTTAAATCGCGTTGTTTACCCATATCTTTAGAAACAAATCACTTCTACTGTTGTGGTAAACAACCTGCTAAATAGGGAATATTTATAATGGTCTGGCCCTCTAGCAACTTCAGCGCGAAATTATAGCTAATTAGCCTACAAACATCAGGTGGTCATAATAAACTGGCAACTCAGTGT